CTCTCCGCGGCACTCTGTGCCGCCGCCCGCACCCGACCGCCCGCTGTTTCCGCCGCCTCGACGATCTTTTTCGTCGTCGCTTTGGCCCGGCCCCGGACCTCCCTGACTGGCACAGCCTGCTCCGCCAGGGCGTGCCGATCTTTGAGTTAGACATGGATCAGATAGGTGCTGCTTTGCATGCTTTGTATGCTGACGCTTCTAGTGTTGATGGATCTTACTACCCTGTGTACTCTAGTTTAGGTGTTTCACCCTTGTGTAGCTTAGCTTCCCCTGCTGCGACAGGCGTAGGACTGCCTAGGTTGCCTAGTCTAGTCGCTGCACCGGCTCCGTCCCCGGCCCCCGCCACTGCGTCGCTGTCCTTCACTCTCGACTCTGGTGCTTCTGCCTGCTTCTTCCGCGACCGTTCCACGCTCACGCCGCTTGCTGCACCTGCTGTTGTCTCTCTCGCTGACCCCTCTGCGGGTCCGGTCGTCGCGCGCAGTTCTACGTCCCTTCCCTGTCCGGCAGTTCCCTCGGGCTCCCTTACTGGCCTCCACGTTCCCTCGTTCTCCAGGAACCTGGTTGGTGTCGGCTGTCTCCAGGACCTCGGCGTCACCACCACGTTCCCCGGGCACGAGCGGTTCGCTGTCTGTTCTGAGGCTGTCTCAGGTTCCCCCCTTGCGACGTTCCCCCGGGACCCGGTGTCCGGTCTGTTTACCCTACACACCGCTTCCCCCCCGGTTGGTGCGTCCTCCCAGGTCGCTGCAGCTTGCTCGTGTCGGTCCCTCACTCACCCCTCCCTTCTCTGGCACCACCGCTTAGGTCACCCTGCTCTCCCGCGTCTGCGTCACATGTCCCAGCACGGTCTTGTCTTAGGTCTCCCCGCGTCGCTCCCTGCCCTTCCTCCCTCGACTGCGCCACCGTGCACGCCTTGCGTCGAGGGTCGGCTCCGCCGTGCTCCTCACTCCTCCTCGCTGCGTCCTGCTACTGCCCCCCTTCAGACCCTGCACTTGGACGTTTGGGGCCCTGCCCCCGTCCCCGGACCGCGCGGTGAGCGCTACTTCCTTGTGCTTGTCGACGACTACACGCGCTACACCACGGTGTTTCCCCTGGAGCGGAAGGCCGACGTGCCCGACGTTCTTCTCCCGTGGGTTGTGGCTGCGCGTCTCCACCGCGGTCTCCCCGTGTTGTGTCTCCACTCCGACCGTGGCGGCGAGTTCGCCTCTGGTCAGCTTGGACAGTTCTGTCGTGCGGAGGGCATCACCCAGTCGTACACGTTGCCGGACTCGCCACAGCAGAATGGGGTTGCTGAGCGCCGCATCGGCTTGGTCATGGAGGTCGCCCGTACCTCCATGATCCATGCCGATGCCCCCCATTTTCTGTGGCCGTTCGCTGTTCGCTACGCGGCTCACCAGCTTAACCTGTGGCCACGCTCCCAGCGGCCGCAGGTTTCGCCGACCCTCCTTTGGACCGGGTCCCCCGGTGACGCGTCTGCGTTCCACATCTGGGGCTGCCTTGCTCACGTTCGTGCCTCTGGCACGGACAAGCTCACTGCCCGCACTGTCCCCTGTGTCTTCCTCGGTTTCCCCCTGGACTCGTCTGACTGGCTTTCTACCACCCGCCGTCTCACCGCTTCCTCCACTCTCGTGACGTCACCTTTGATGAGTCCGTCTCCTTCTACCGCCGCTTCCCTCACCGAGGTCTCCCAGTTGCCCCCCCCCTTTTCCTTGCTCCCTCTCCCCCGGTAGCCCCTGCCCCTCTCCCGCCTCGTCCTGCCCCGTCTGGTGTCTCCCACGTCACTCCCCTCCCGTCGGTTGTCACCGTTGAGGAGTCTGCTGACTCTGGTGGTACCCCCGGTCCGTCCTTGCCGCGTCCCCCTTCCCCGGTGCCTCCGCCCCCACTGTCGCAGTCGCCGACCCCGCTGCCGCCGCCGTCGCCGTCGCCGCCGCAGCCGTCGCCGCTGTCGTCGCAGCCGTCGCCGCTGTCGCCGCCGCCGCAGCCGTTGCCGCCACTGCCGCCGCTGCTCTCGGCCCCTGGGGGTGCTGGTGTGGAGGAGGGTGTTCGTCCTGCGGCTTCTGGGGGTGCCGCTGGTGTTGGAGGGGGTTCTCGCTCTGGGGGTGTTGGTTCTGGGGGTGCTGCTGTTGAGTGTTCTGCCGACGGTCGTTCTGCCTCTGCTGGTCCGAGAGTTCCGGCCCAGCCGTCGTCGCCGCCGCAGCAGCCGTCGCCGCCGGTTTCCGCTCTCCGCCTGCTCGGCCTTCCCTCCCCGGACCGCGCGCCGGTGTCTCCCCCACCGCCTCCTGACCTCCCTGTCTACGGTCCTGTGTTCCCGCCGCCAGACTCGTCTCCGGCCCGTCTTCCTCCTCGTTCCCCTCCTGTGTCTCCTCCGCTGTCCCCTGACCCTACCCCTCCGTCTCACGTTTGGGCTCGCCGTCCCTCCCGTGCTCGTCCCGTCTCTCCTGTCCTGCCCACCCACCCTATGTTGCTCCGTTCCCACTCGTCTCGTCCTCCCCTCCTCCCGTCCCCTCCTCCCTCGTCCCTTGCTGTTGCACCTCCTCCGTTCTCTGACTACCTCCGTGCTGCTCGTCCCCTTGTCCCTCGGGTCCTTGCCTCTCTTGTTACCGACCCTGCTGTTCCTGTCTCGCGCCTTGACGCGCTTGTCGCTGCTGTCGCTGACTTCGCTTCTACCCGCCGCCTTGACTACGCTACCGCTCTGGTCTCTGACCCTGCCCGTCCTCTGTCCGTCGGGGGTGCTCCTGCCCTTGGCAGTGACGTCCTAGAGGACAGGCAGTACGAGCTGGCTTTCCTTTCCGAGGCTGCTCCCCATCTCTGCTCCATGCTGTTAGTCCCTGAGGGTGACCCAGACGCCTTGGACATCCCGACCCCTCGCACCTACGCTGAGGCCACCTCGGGACCTTGGGCCTCTCAGTGGATAGCTGCCATGGAGCAGGAGATGGCATCTTGGAGATCCACCGGCACTTACGTCGACGCAGTTCCCCCGCCTGGGGTGAACGTAGTCGATGGTCGGTGGCTCTTCAAGGTGAAGCGCCCCCCTGGAGAGCCGCCTGTCTTCAAGGCGCGCTACGTGGCCAGAGGTTTCAGTCAGCGCGAGGGGGTTGACTTCTTCCAGACCTTCGCCCCGACCCCGAAGATGACCACTCTTCGGGCGCTGCTACACGTAGCAGCACAGCGTGACTACGAGCTTCACTCCCTCGACTTCTCTACTGCCTTTCTTCAGGGCAGCCTACACGAGCAGGTCTACCTGCGCCGACCACAGGGCTTCACTGGTACCTTCCCTCCTGGGACCCAGTGGCTTCTCAGGCGCCCGGTCTACGGCCTGCGTCAGGCTCCCCGCGAGTGGCACGACACGCTACGTGCCACGTTAGCAGACCTGCAGTTCTTTCCGTCCTCTGCTGACCCTTCACTGTTTGTGCGTTCCGGCCAGACTCCGTTCTACATCCTTGTCTACGTAGACGACCTGGTCTTCGCTACTCCTAACAGGGACGCACTGGCCTCTGTGAAGGCTGAGCTGCTGAAGAGACACACCTGCACTGACCTTGGAGAGCTGCGTCGCTATCTTGGCCTGCAGATCTCTAGGGACAGAGCAGCACGCACCATCACTCTGACCCAGTCACACTTGGTGCGTCAGGTCCTTCAGAGGTTCGGTCTTCAGTTCTCCTCCGCACAGCCCACACCTCTACCCGTAGACCATGGGCTCTCTGCTCCCGTTCCTGAGGAGCCAGTAGAGCCCAGTGGCCCCTACGCAGAGCTGGTGGGTTGCCTCATGTACCTGATGACTTGCACTCGCCCAGATCTCGCATACCCTCTCAGCATCCTGGCTCGCTTTGTGGCTACAGGCAGACACCGACCTCAGCACTGGTCTGCCGCTAAGAGGGTTTTGCGTTATCTTGCTAGTACATCAGGCATGGGGTTAGTGCTAGGAGGACGCAGGCCAGTGGTCCTTACTGGGCACACAGACGCTTCTTGGGCAGACGACGCTGAGACGCTCAGGTCGTCGCAGGGCTACTGTTTCAGCCTTGGTTCGGGTGCTATCTCTTGGAGATCCACTCGCTCGTCGTCTGTGGCTCAGTCTAGCTGTGAGGCTGAGATCTACGCTGGTGCCATGGCGGCACAGGAGCTCCGCTGGCTGACCTTCTTGCTCACAGACTTAGGTGAGCGGCCTAGCTCTGCCCCGGTCCTGTACGCTGACAACAGGGCCATGATACTCCTGTGTCAGGAGCCTCGGCTTGAGGGCAGAGCGAAGCATATCCAGCTGCGGTACTTCCTCCTGCGCGAGCTACAGCAGCGCCGCCAGGCCCGCGTAGTTCACTTGGCCTCAGGTGCCAACACAGCTGATATCTTTACTAAGGCGCTTGCGCCTAAAGATCATCAGCGGCACTGTGTACAGCTTGGTCTTGTTCCTATAGCTGCTCCCCTGTTAGGATCCTGATTGTGTACTCTCTATTATATATGCTTCTCAGACTGGCCTTGTGGCCTTACCTCCAGTGGCTGGACTAGTAGTGCCACCCTGGCTTGCTTCAGTTTTGGTTGTATTCTTGCTGACTGGTCTCCAGACCCCTGCCTCAGTGGTTGGACTAGTAGTGCCGCCCTGAGCTGTTTGCTTCTTGTTTAGTTTCACCCCTTGTCTAGCCTAGGGGGTGTGTCAACTTATACATATTATCTATGAGAAGTTATAGGCTAGACCGAGGTATCCTTCTAGTGAGTACAACCAACTAGTATTTGTTCTAGGTTTCCACTTCTAGTAATCATTCGTTCTTACATTGACACTCATATACTTGTACAAGGGTTCAACTACTCAACTTCCGCTTCACTACTCAAGTCTCATTCTACAACTGGGACTTAGTCTCTGGAAAGATCCAAAGGGCTTTTTTCAGCCCAACAATGTAGAAGTTTAGGCTAGATAGGGTATGTTCTTAGTGGGTAAAACCCAAACGCTATATTCATTCTTCCAGTCCTAACAGCCGGTACCCACAGAACCACAGAACTTGCACCCCCACATACCATGTTAGAGTATCTGGAAAAGTGTGACCAGGAACAGGGGAGGGTAGATACAATTACAAGAATACTGTCTCGTCTAAGAACTGATCTAGCAAACAATACCTAAATGAATAAACAGATTTATATGTTTGTTGACACGTCATACCTTGAAGAGTCATTTACTGCCAACCTAGCTGTACAGTGAGAAAAGCATAGCGCATACATGATTTTGTCAAACCACCACTAGCATCCCCCTCCTTCAGTATCATACAATCACCCGACCAGCCCTGGCTGCCTCCATGCAACGCCAGCACACGTGGGATATCCCTTCTTCTGAACACACTTGACACAATCCTTGACACTTCCTTGGGTGACCTTCAGGCTGCAGCCACGGCAATCTCGTCTTGACCTCCTCCTCCACCCTGCTGCTCATCGGCTGTCTGATCATCAGCTGTCTGATCCTCCCCTGTTTGCTCATCCATCGATCGTTCATCCATTTCATCACCATCACCAGCATCGTCTCCTGTCATCTGAGTTTCACCAGACGTGCCATGCTCTCCCACGGAAACCTCTGTCTCCTCGACTCCTCTCGAGTCTTCCAGCGTCATCGCTTCGACCACAATCACCGCAGGATCTTGCTCATCCGCGCTCTGTGCTGCCGCGACTGCTGCAGCCTCTTCCTCTTCAGCCGCTTTAATCACTTCCCGGATCGCGACTTCAAACGGCTCCTCCTGGCCCTGAAACTCAAAAGGCACGGCGTCCTCCTCCTGGTTTTCCGGAGGCGCGTCGACGCCTGAATGGCAGATCGGGAAGTCTTCGAAGGCGGCTCGAGGAAGCTGCTCGCTGATCCCGAATCCGACGGAGAAGTGAATCACGCTTGAAGCGGCGTTGTCCACGTAGATCGATTTAACGGAGACCCAAAACGGCAATTCCGGAGGCTTCGCGGAGATCCCGCGGACGCTTGAAATCACTCCGTACTGCAGCCTCCCGGTAAGAACGGTTGAGTAGTAAAGCGGAATCTCACCCGTGTTATGTACAGACGTGCGACACGTGGACGGCAACTGCACTCGGAACCATCCTTGATCGTTGATTTCAGCTTTGATGACAGTTTTCGGCAGCAGACCGACCGGAAGGCCGTTCTTCTTGAGGGTTTCAAAGGGGTCCGGGTCGAGATCGACGGAAGAATCTTCTTCAGCTGCAGTGATTGGCTGTTGTTTAGACACTACCGGTGGCGTGATTTGAAGAAATCTGGCAGAAACCAAGCTGGCACATCCCAGAAAAAGGATAAAGGATGTTAACCAGGAACGAGCCATGGCTTGAAGGGACTGCTTCTTCGCGTCCGAACTCCGTGCCACTCCCTCTCTCACAATAGCTGAAATTCTTGCAGAAACTTACAACCTCACGTATGCCCGTCTGATCACTCTAAAAGCCGCTTATCTGAGACCTGGAGGAGGAGGTTGTGGTGGCCCAGCCCTTGGCGCCCCTGGGTCATGCTGGAGTTTTAGAGAATGGCCTGGTGTGGTTGAGTCTGGCTTGGCATGGTTCGGCGTGGTGCGGAGCCTAAGCCTCTGCAGCGGCGGTGAGGAAACGTGAGGGTTGGAGCTGGATCTGGGGCGAGGATGTTCCACAGTGCTGCTGGGTTTGGGGGGATGCTGTCGGGCTTGGGGGAAGCGAACAGAAGTGGAGGAGGTTGGGTGAAGGGGTAAGCCTCGTTCGGGAATCGGAGCTGGAGGCCGAGTGAAGCCCGAGCCAATCGCTACGCAGGTTAGTTCAAGATGATTGGATAATTACAGGAAACCGGGGCTAGTTTGTTCGAAAGCTGACGTGACAGGTCGGGGTTTGGCTTACAACCACGTCATGGACATCGTTGCAGGCTCGGTGCGGGCGTGCACGGAGCTGTGGGCTTGGCTTCGGGATGGCTGGCGCTACCTCCGCTCGACGGTCATGGTAATCTTGACGGAGGGATGAATGAAACGTCGATCAGGGGCTAGTTGTCGTGCAATTGTCGCACGATGACCTGAATAGCAGAATCGCCGGGGTCGTGTGATTGGTAAATTTGCCATTCCCCCTTTGTACACCAATCAGACGAGCGACGAAGCGCTGACTGTGCACGCTAGCTGCGCTCGCACGACAGTCAGCATAGCTCTCGTCGTGAATTGTCCACAGTGAACTGCGGTTGCGTGTGAATAACGCGTATGGCGCACTATACTGACGTAATCCACTTTCTGCTTGAGGTCATTTAGCCAGGTTATGTGGAATGTCAACAAGGGATGCAAACAGCTAGAAAGCGGGGATTTGGAGGCGCATGCAGGGTAGTTCGGCACCCACCATGAAGATCCCAAGGCCGCCATGGCCACTTCGTAGCGCTTTGATGCCTCCAATGTCTGTCAGTTTCTTGCCTGATAAGCGATCAAAAGATTCCTACTGTTGAGCTCTCTAAGTACAGCTACTTTTTATGTTCATTGAGCGAGCATCTGGCAGTGCTTATTCAGTCCCAGGAATCCCAAGGTCCAACCTGCTAATCATGCTAAGCAGTTTTCAAGGACAAGGTTGCTCAGGCTGCAGGATTCTTAGCATCTATTGTGACCAATCCAGCTGCACTGCCAAGATCGTCACGTCAGCCTCTAAACAAGATAGAATTGGGAGCAACAAAATGGCTTTCATGGATATATTTTGTGCTCAGATTAACCCATTTCTCTGTCATCAGAAGACTGTTCAAGGGCTTTCATCATCTCACAATGCCAAGGCAACAGCCTGGCGTAGTGACCAGATCTGGCCATCGCAGCTCTTAGAGCGACAGTTCGGACTCGGACTCATCTCTGCCGCCGACTCCTTTCCATTCTCTACTCAAGGTGCACGCGGCTCGGAGAATGGTTGTCTCCCCGATTGAAGATCCGTTGCGGTGCTCTCGTCGTCGGTACCGCCTGTTGTTCTGACGTCGCTGCGCCAGCCACCGCTGGTCCAAGATCCTTCACCGGATCAGCCAGCTGTGGAGGAGGTCGGTGGGGACCCTGTTCTGGTGGGAGGGTTCTTGTGAGCACGGAGGACACTGAGGACGAAGAAGGGGATAAGGATGATGATGGGTACTTAAGTAACGACCCCGAAGATTGCTCTGATCCGATCAAGAAGAAGGAAGAGGTGGCGGCGAAAGTCAAGACATCAATCACCCTGCTCATCCCCGACTCTCACCTTAAGGAGGCGTCGAAGGCCAGGGAGACGGTGGTGACGTTCCTCAGAGCAAGGAGGAAGGACCTCGTCCTTGATGTCCTGGTTTCGACGTCGTTTCAGGAGCCGAAGCCTACCTACTTGTCGAAGATGCGCTTTGGCTGGCTGCAAGCTATCTTCCTCCATGCCAAGGATGCAGCGTTTGCGAGGAAGCATGGGATCGAACACCTTTGTAAGGATGGATCTTACCTTGAGTTGGGGTGGTAGCATCCCCTGGCAACGAAGGCAAAAGATGGGGAGCTTATCCAGGTGCTGTTCAAGGATGTCAGGCGGCTGCAACGCTGGATATGCTGTGTGATATGCTGGCGTCGGTACCCCTGGTGTGTCGTAAGATGACGACGTTCCTGGAGGGATTGCGCTTCTATCGTGAGAAGGATCCGGTCTCTGGCCTTGACATAGACAAGGTTCGGGGTCTAGTGAAGCATCACCCTGGCGACATGTTCCGCTTGCGTTACCTGGTGGAGGATCCTCTTTGGCGTAGTAGTCAGATCTGCGTGCATTACCCAACACTCACCTGGGATTACTGTCAGGGACAACACTGATCCAAGCTGCATGATGACTATGTTGTCAAACGTCAGATTAGTGTTGAGAACTGCCAGCTGCCAATGGAGAAGTTGCATCTGCTCAACGGTAATGACTTTCCCTAGCCCCGCTGTCATCTGCTGTCATCTTCTTTGGCTATTGACCTCGCTTTGCACATCACCTCGTTACCTCTATTCCTTCTTTGTTCTGCTGATTTCCATGCGCACGCAGCCACCTCCTTGAAGCTGTCCATACAGGTGAAGCGGCTGCTCAAGGATCCTACCATCGCGTTGGTGTCGACAGGTGCCAGCCGCGAGGATTGGATCTATACTCAAGGGTCCTGTGGGAAGGCTCATGGTACACTGTTCGAGATGGCGATCAAGCACGACAAGCTTCCTCGTCATCGAGATGATCTTATGAATCCAGCAGCTACTACCACGCGGGCGAACATGGCGCTGGCAAAGGGTGCGATGGTCAAGAAGGATAACAATATGTGAGCAGTCCAGATGTGCGCTTTCAGGAGCTGTCCCTTTGGCTGTCAACGGCAAAGGAAGTTGTTTGGGTGCTGTCAGTGGAAGAAGTGCAAGAAAGGATAGTAGTGCTTGTAACCTCATCTAGTGTAGAGTGGAGGAGCCTTGTCATCTTACCTATAGCGGTGGTTGCAGTGTCCCTGGTCGGATCTTATGCACTGTCCAGGCATCGTCACCCAGTTCCAGTTGCGTCTTCTCTTTCTGCCCTGTGGATGCTTGGGGGCAAACAGTCAGGTGTACAATGGGTAACGACCCCCGACTTTCAATCTGTGGGTGCAACGTCAATGGCTTAGGTAGCAGTGGGAAGATATTAAATCTAAGGCTGTAGATGAAGAAGGCGATGGACATTATGATGATAGCGGGCACCAAAATTGGGGAGAGTCACAGTTTCTGGAAGGAAGTCGAAGCGATGGCGGTAGTAGCGGTGTCTTTGTCCCAACGGGCCAGTGGTGTGGCGATAATCTGTTTTAAGGAAGGGGTGGTGTTCAGGGATATACGCTCACATTCATATGGCAGGCTTTTGGGAGTAAAGTTAAAGTAGGAGAACAGTATGTCAGTGCTGGTGGCTGCCTACTTCCCTCCTCACGTGACGGACAGGGGGGTCTTCATGAGAAGTTTTGGCGCCGTTCATTGCCTCCCTCCCGCAGGCGGACCATCACCTGCTGGTAGGAGATTTGAATCTGGTGGAGGATCCAGATCTGGATCACACTTCTGGGGTTGGCACGGTACGGGAGAATAGGCACTTGATGTGGATTTTGTCTGGTTTCCACATGAGGGACGCCTTCCATACCTTCAATCCTCGAGAGAGGGAATACATTTTTTTCTCGAAGTCGGCGAAGGAGAGCTCAAGGATTGACTGGTGCCTGAATCTCACTCCAAGCTCTATCTGGTGGCGGGAGTGCGGCATCTGTTAATTCTAGAGAGGATTTCAGACCGTAGCTTACGGACCCTGCTGCTACTTCGAAACCGATCGCAATCAGGGAACGGCCTTAAGATTTGGAGGTTGCGAGCAGCGCTGGCGCACAGAGCCGTGGTTCGGTCGATCGTAGAAGCAATAGTGAAACAACGTAGTGGGGAGGAACAGAGATGCTATGGAAGATTGCTGCATGACTTGGGAGTAGGCCTGAAGAGGTACATGAGGGAGGAGGCGAAGCGGGTGCGTGCAACTAGGGCTCACCTCGAGCAAGAGTGTCGGCGTTGATGTGAGAGTATGAACCAGTTACACTTCTTTCTCATTTCCATATTTCTCCTCTATCTCATTCTTTTTCTCTTGATTCAATTGGTCTTAATCTCATCTCTTTTGGTTTCCTATTCCTTATTTTCCATTATCCTTTGGTTTATCCGATTATTATAATTATATCAACGACCAAGCTCAGGATGTACTGGCGCACTATATCTAGCGTAATCTTGTCCTAATCCCTTAAAGCCAATAGCTTCGCATGGCTATACGTAGGGTGATTGTATTTCTAGAAGGGTCTATTCCCTTTGGATCGGATAAATCTGGTTACCTGATGTACCTAGGAAGTATAAAAGCGCCTTGTATTGTTCTATAGTGCAACTTTTCCTCGACCAATTCGATCCTGTGACACTTGGTATCAGAGCTTTTCTCACTCGGCCATGCTCAGCTAAGCAGCTGCCATGGGAAAACCTGCCTCGAGAAACCGCGAGGGGCGACTAATTCGGCGCCAATTCTGGTAAGCATCAGCTCAGCATTTTTATAATTAACCCCTCCGTGCGTGTTTTGAGCATGATGGCGAACTTCAACAACACTGATGTTACCCAGCAGCTCTTCACGCACATCTCCGCCCTACAGGAGGAGATGCGTGCTGACCGCAAAGCTTGGCGAAACGAGTTCGAGCGAGTAACTCGACTCGTCGGCGCACAGCACTGAACGACAACGGCGACGATGCAGCACTCGCAGCAGTCTCTCGAGGCTCTGAATCGACGCCCAATTGAGCCGTTCGATCCGAGTGATCAAAATTCTGACGCCCGCAGATGGATCGCCAGCATGGAGATCTACTTCGCAGCCGTCGGATGGAGCTCACCGGTCCAGGACGGTCAGCGCGTGCGACTTGCGGTGACACTGATGTGAGGGTTAGCACTCGAGTGGATCGGCAAAAACAGTACCTTCATCCACG